TGGATGGAACTAAAAGAAACCATTCTGAGCAAGGTAACCCAATCACAAAAAGACAAACATGGTATGTACTCACTCATATATGGATAGAGTAAAGGATTACCAGCCTACAATCCACACTGCCAGACAAAGGAGTACCCTAAGAGAGACATATGTGGTCCCTTGGAGAAGGGGAAATGGTCAAGACCCCCTGAGCAAATTGGGAGCACGGGAAAAGGGGGGAGGGAGCTAGAAGAATGAGAAGGGGAGAAGAGGAGGCATGCAGAGGACATGAGGGAGCAGAAAGGTTGAGTCAGGTGAAGAATAGAAGATAACAAGAATAGAGATACCATAATAGAGGGTTTTAAGTTTACAGAGAAATCAGTTACTAGGAAAATGTCTGGAGATCTACAAAGATGACACCAGCTAGCAATCTAAGCAACAGAGGAGAGGCTACCTTAATTGCCCTCTCCTGATAATGAGATTGATGACTGACTTACATGCCATCCGATAGTTCTCATCCAGCAGCTGGCGGAAGTAGAAGCAGACACCCACAACTAATCACTGAACTGAATTGGAATCCAGATCCAGAGAAGGATGAGTGAAGAGCAAAGGGTTCCAGACCAGGCTGGTGAAACGTACAGAAACAGCTGACCTGAATATCAGGCAACTCTTGCTCCCCAGATTGATAGCTGGGATACCAGCATGGGACTGATCCAGACCCCAGAAACATGGGTTTCTGTGAGGAAACCTCAGAAATCTACAGGGCCTCCTGTAGTAGTTCAGGACTTATCCCTAGTATAGGTGTGGAATTTGGGAGCTCATTCCACATAGAGGAATACTCCCAAGACACACGGGGGTGGGTCTAAGCCCTATCCCAAAGGATACGATAGACTCTAATGACAACCTATGGAAGGCCTCACCATCCAGGGGGAGCAGAAAGGATATGTGATAGGTAGGGTTTTAGTTGGGCGGGGGTGGCAGGGGAGGATGGGTGGGAGAAGGGAACTGGGATTGTCATGTAAAACAATCTTGTTTCTAATTCAAATACAAAATAAATAAATAAAAGAACAGCCAACAGTGCATGAAGATCCTTCCCTCATTTCTCAGAGTTACTTAACATGGCAGACTTACTTGCAACAACTGCTTCTATTAATATAGTGCATATTACAGGGTATATTGTAAACATGTAGAAGAAAGTTTATGTGGGGCAAATGTAAGCATTAACACGGATCTGATTGGATGGGCAGGGATTCTGGCACTCGGGAGCCACAGAATACTGAGTGTTACAGCTCAGATGAAAAGGTATTCTGGTACTTGGGAGCCACAGTAAGCATAGCAGCTTACAGCCTTGCTCCAGGCAAAGGATTCCCCAGTGTAATAGCTCTGCTCTGGCAAGGGAGGGCTTCCCCTGCAAAGTTGTTACAGTTCAGCTCAGGTCCCCTGAGATTAACAACTCCACTTCCCTAGTGGAATGTTTCCCCAGTGAAAGTGTTACAGCTCTGCTCTGGCTCCGGGGAAAAGTTGTTACCGCCCCCCTCCATTCAGGCTAAGGAAAGGTTCTCATGCAAACCTCACTCAAGACATTTATTGAAAGCCAGGTGAGTGGCTGCCTCTGCCAGGGTGGCAAAGGACAGCCAGGCAGCCAGACAGCCACAAGCTGAACAGACACAGGGTTTATATAGGGCTTCTTAGGGGCAGAATTTTTCTAGGGAAATTTCCAGGGTGGGGATTGGTCAGATTGGCTAGATCTCCTGCTCAGGGTTTGGTTGGTTTTCTGCTCAGATTCAAGGTCAGATTTGGCTCTGGTTTCAGGGCCAAAGTGTGTTTCTTTCACTGGTGTTGTTCCCATAGATAAGTTGCTGTGATTTCTTCTGAGCGTTTCTGTTTGGTTTATGATATGCCTGTGAGTTAGTGTTAATCATCTTCATGTCTTTTTTGTTTGTTTTTATATGTGGCTTATTGTTGCCATTATATTTGATTGATTCTTGGTCATTTTTACTTCATTCATTCTGTTCCATTCTTTCACTTTTCTTTTTGTAGTACCCTAACTAAACATATCCTAGACTTTTAAAATTGCCTCAACTCTTTTGACATTATTTTTTTGTCTTCATTTCATTTGCTTTCATAATTTCATATTAGATTTCTTCCCATGAGCAGGTCTCCTTGTGTTTTTGTTTTTGTTTTTTTAACTTTCCTAAAATGTCCGACTCTTCTCTGATCATCTTTCTTTTCTTGATTTTTTTGCTTTTTCTCTTATTCCTTACACTATTAATCAAGGACATTTTAAAGTTATTGTCTGATGATTCCAAGGTTTACTTGCAGCTGTCTGGCAAGTCAGCCTCTCATCCTTGTACACACCACATTTTGGTGTTGGTGTGCCTTGTAACTTTTAGTTTGTTTATTTAAAGGCACTCATAATGGATTTCATAATAGGAAAAGAAACAAGAGATTTCCGTGGGCTATCTTGTGGCAAGTTGGGATGTATTAGTAAGTCCTAAAACTGGAGATTCTAGGTTCTCAGGTGTCTGGTTTCCCACCAACTCTACCCAGGTAGAGATTGGGTCTTAGGATTCTAAACTGTGGGGAGTTGGTTTTGTTCTGGGTCCCTGTTAGACCTGTGGATGGGTATGGGGAAAGGAAGCTTTTCTTAGTTTTGGTGGGTTGCTGGGCTATGTCCTTCCCAAGTGTGCCTAGCCTTGGTGGACCCAGGGGCAGGGCCAGACATGTACTTCTTGGTGGGAACAGGCTCAGCCAGTCCTTTCCTGGGACAGGAGACCTCTGCTGCAGAGGTTTCCCCGTGCATTTCAATAGAGTTAGTTTTCTTCTTTCTTTGCCAGAAACTTTCTTGGCTTTTAATGTGAGAAGCTGCTTGGCTTCTGGGAGGTAAAACCACGGAAGTGTGAGTCCCTCCCAAGGCCTCTATCCCAGAGGTCTCATCTCGGCTGGCTGATGATCGGCTTCCAGCAATTCATCAAAGTTATCATGGACTTGTCCTGGTAGGTCATGGACCCTGAGGCTTCCAGATCCCAGTCTCCAGGTTACACTCAGAACACTTGCCTCAGCAGGCTTCATGGCCATGATATCTCCTCGGAAAGAATTAACAAGGGTTGTTTCTAATTAGGTTAAAAGCATCTTGTTTTCCAAGTTCTCAATGATAAGTGGCACTTGGGCAGAGCCTATTTGCATATCCTATCGAAGCAAGAACTTGTACCCACATATAAAGAACACATCCAAAATTGAACAGTAAAAAACAAGCAAACTAATTAAGGATATATTATCCAAGAGACACTTCACCAAGCAAGGTGGATAGGTGACAAGGGTGTGGTAACTCTCTGTCATTAACCCCAGGGACATGCTCACTGAGACAGTGCTGCACATGATGGCCACGGTGAGTACTGACCATAAGGTGTGGTAACAGATCACTCATCGACTCTTAATGGACATGTGGAATGAACAGCTGCTTGGAAACAGCCTGAGAGTTTCTTGAGATGGTTAAACAAGCCCTCCCAAATGACGGGTTGTTTCCACCACTTAGCGTTTTCCCAAGGGAGGTGCAAGCATGTGCCTTGGCAAAGATTTGTATGAGAACAATAGCAGAAGCTTGATCATTAAGGGTCAGGAACTGAAAAAGATGTGGCTTTTTATTAAAAGGTGAATGAGTAGACCATGTGGAATGACCACATGATGGGATGCTGCATGACAGTAAAAGCACAGGGTCAATGTTCCACAGTGCAGCACGGATGAATCCAATCTTCTGTGCTGAGAGCAAAGCCAGACAAAGTGTCATGCAATTGTGATTTCATTTACATAACATTGTAGAACAAAAACGAGCTAATCTATAGTGGCAGGAAGTAGATGAATCATTTTCTAAGGACCCATGGCAAGAGCCAAAGGGAAGAGCTACTTAAGAAGGGAGGTGATGGATTTTGCCCACAATCTTAGAGGTGGCTTCACAGCTGGATTGCTAAGTATTTATCAAGTTATACATCTTTATATGTGCTGTTTATTTTAACTATATATGAAAAAGATTTAATATTAAAACTAGCAAAAGTTCTCATCATATAATTCAGTGTATACCAAGTTCCAGAAAGGAAAAAGTGCTCTATAGAGACACAGAAAATCACTGTTTTCTGGGGGCAGTCTGACTGCAACAGGATACCTGAGAATCTTTGGGGTGGTGAAATGTTTGTGGAATGTACAACTGAAATTTGGGGATCTTCAGCACATGTAAATTATACTGCAACATGATTCATTCAAAATGTCAAGTCTAATTCCCATCTTTGGCCCTCCAAGTTATTCTTTCAAGAGACCACATTTTAGCAATATTGAGAATTCAAAAGAAACGAGTAAAGACAACTAGATTGTCGAGTTTATTCATTTTTGTATTTATTTTTGTCTGAGGGACTAGTCCTATGATCACATATTTCTGGGTCATTATGAAATATATCTGCATTGAAGAAATGTTTGCAAATATGTGGAGTTATGGGGATCTTCCCTTTCTGTCGGAAACTCCATCTTAGGAACAGTGAGTATAGAAACCATTTTTAGCTTTAGAAAATTTATGGAACCAGAAAGTGTGCTTTGCTGCAAGCATCTGACCCCAGTCACCTATTTCTGTTACCCTGAAAAGGATGAATTAGAACCATCTGATTTGGTTATATTTGTAGAATGTTTGTATGAGCAACTCCTTTGAATGTCCTAATTGTTTCTTTTTAGAATCATTTGGTAATAATCCCTCCCCCCTTTTAATAGTTTAAATGTCACATTCAGATGTCGAATGAGTAATGTAAAAGATTTGAGCATATACAATAGACATGTGTAATGGCCGGAAACATCCCATTATACTCTTCCCAGGCTGCTCCCACCCAGAGGGGATATGGGTGGTTTTGATTATTTGTTGAAGAAACACAAGTCTATAAAATATTAGCTATGATGAAATGGAGATAATATTTTGAGGCAGCTACAGACAAAACGCTGCTGTCAAGAAGATGAAAGCAGGGTGAGTCACCTTGTGTAGGGAGAGCCACCCCCATTTCCCAAGTGGGGAGCTCATCACCTCCCAGGCTATTGCACAATGGTGTAGCAGCTCACACAGTCCCTGGGGCCCTGGGTGAGCTCACAGTCCACACTGTGTTGTATATCACTGGGCAATGGCTTGGTGCCAGGTGCCCCAAACCTAGGAAAGCCCAGACTATCAGAAGCCATTTCCAGAGTAAGTGTGCTCACCATGGAGAGGATCCAGTGCTAAGGTCTGTATAAATATTAATGAGCTAATGGGAGCCAGTCTCACTCATGACTGTGCTTCATGACACAGTGTAATTATGGGACACCTAGAGCTACACAAACAGGCTATTTTTACTTAGGCTTTTTTGAGGTAAACTGTCTAAAAGAATAAGTGAAATGTTATGAAAAAGAAAGGCAGTTGTGTGTGTGTGTGTGTAAAGATGAGGCCATGAGTTCATTCTTTAATAGCCCATTCCCCTCCTGCAATGATACAGGCATTGAGCAATGACATCAATGGGCATAGGACTCAGAGCAAAAGCAAGCAGGCAAAGCAGGCTCAGATGAAAACCTAAACACAGAGGAGGCGGCACTTGGGAGTGGAGCTTCTGTGGCCTGACCCCCAATGGAAACAGCTGTAAAGGTAATATGCACAAGTCTTGAAGACAGAAGAGAGGAGCCAGGAGAGACCCAGGAGCCAACAATCTATCCTGTGAAAACTCTTTTTACTTCCCTCTTGGTGTTTTGCTTTGTTTGAAGTTTGTTAGCCTTGAGCTGACAAAGAGTTCCTCCCTTGTACACTCTTTGCTGTCTGCACACCCAATTCTTAAATGGGGGTAGGGCAGAAACTCTGTTGGAGACTGCAGAAGAGTAGGATTTTGACTTCCCTGTGGGCTGTGTACTTCTGTGGCAGTCTGCACGTCACTCTTCTTGTCCCCTGTGGTCATCCACTCAGCTGCCCTCTGCTCATGCTCACCCTGCCTTGCTGGTGATCACTTGGGTCTCTGTTCTCACTGACCTTTATGGGGACTCAGGACTTGTGATATTTGTGGTTCACATGTATGAGCCCTACTACAGGTTTACTTCATACCTTGCTACCCTCGGCTTTGGTCAGGCTTGTCTGTCTCTTGCTTTGTGCTTCGGCCAGGCAGGTGGATCCCTTTGGTTCTCTTCTCTCTGAATGTTGAATACCAACACTCAACCTTTTAAATTGCTGTGGGGTCTAACCAGGCAGGAAATGCTGCCCAATAGCAGTGAGAAGAGTCGACTCGGGTGACCTCAGAGGACACAATGGAGGAGCAAAGTTGGATCTGTACCACCATTACCTATTCCACAAAACCCAAGGAAATGGTGAGAAGAAACAATTTATTTATTTGTCTGAGATGAGTCAGAGGGAGCAGGAAACATATGCCTAAAAGCCTTTCATATGTAACTGAAAATATAAAACAGTGAGACGTGTTTGAATCTGGGGCCATGTGGGTGAAAGTTTAGATTATGGGAGCCACTCAGCTTATGAAGAAATGAAGAGCAGAAGTGAATTTAGAGGACAAAGGGCGATGTAAGGTGGGTGTTTGGACAGAAGAGAAGCTAGTGTGTGGGGTGAACTGTGGCCAGAAGGCCACAGGCTTCCTCAGCTGGAGGACTCTGACATAGAATGCCACTGTCAGGACATCACAGCCCCGAAACTAGCTGGGATGGCTTTGGTTCCCCTGCTCAAGTGTGGTGTCCCTGCCTATGGGATGGATACTAAACCTGCTTATGACAAGTTTGGATTCCAACAGTATCAGATTCAAACACATTCAGGTTGCACCTGAAGCGTCCAAAACCCTCATGTCAAAATGACCAAGCTAGGCTTGTGTTTCTGACTGCAGGTATTTGAGGAAGCATCTGGAACTGTGGGAAGTCAATGCCCAAAAGTGTCGGCTTAGCAATGCGTTTAGCAGCTACTCAACAAACTTTGCTGTGTTGGCTTTACTCTCCTGCCTTTCCTAGCCCAGCCCATTGGCACGAGATAAATGAGGGGAAATGGAAAACTGGATCTGTACAGGCCTGAGAGTCTCGTGCAACTGGTGTGAAAGCTGGGCAGGCTGGGTTGCTGGGGTGAGGTGCCTCAGTATGGCTGCTTAGAAAAAAAGCAGATGTCTCTTGTCCTGGTTCTCTGGCACAATAGCTCGTTTTACAAAAATTTTTGTGCTTGTATCCTGAGATTTTACATGGAGGGGGAGCTAAGCTGCCTTGTAGGCATCTGTCCGGATGTCTCAGCAACTGACAGAGAGACAAGTCTGGTCAAAGCCGATCCCAGAATGTGTCTGCACATGTATGGACACATACATGAACACGTGTTTTCATGCAGATGACATTAGTTACAGTTCTCATTGCTACCCACAGAAGCAGTTAAGGGAGGAGAGGTTTATTCAACTTCCAGTTCAGAGGGCAGAGTCTATTGTGGTGGGGAGGGCATGGCAGCCAGAGTGGTTTGGTCCATGGAGCCTGTGGCTGTTCCACCTCACATTTTGGTAATCAGGGAGCTGAGTGAGCTTGTGCCAGAAGTTGGACTGGGTGACAATGATCAAAGGCTAGTTCAAGTGATTTCAGTTGTCATTTATAGGTTCTCAGCAGCAGCAGCAGACCCTCTTCACAACCCCTGCATGAACCAGCTTCATGGCTGCTCTGTTGTTGACATGGAAGTCCAGTGGGAAGCAAATGCTATACTCTGTGAACAACCCCCAGGTTCCATGGTTTAATGAGCACGCTCCATGGAAGTATAGTCCCTTCACCGCTGATCCTCTTTTCTTTTCTCCTCCCCCTTTATCTGTTGGTTTGGATATATTGTGTCCCTCAACAGCTCACAGTAGCAAGAGTGGTGGGACCCTTGAGGTGGAACCTGGCTGATTGCACTATGGGATGCTTCTCTCAGGAAGAGCAGGAACAGGTCTTCCCTATTCTTTGTTTCTTGCTGTCATCATGTGCTTCCTTCTTCATAGGCATGCCTGCTGTGGTAACATCCACCATGTTGAATTTTGACCATCCAATTTCCTCAAAGGCCAGGTCCACAAGGGAGTCAAATGGTAGAATTTCAGCTCCTCCCCCGCCCCAATGAGCTTAATAACTTAACTTATAAGTTCCAAGACTCGGGTACTTCATTACAGCAAGGAGAAGATGGACAAATCTATAATCCACTTATCACTAGTCCAACAATGTCTTCTAGATGTTCTCACATCAGAACAATCTGTACTCCAACCGGGCACATTGCTGAGTGTGATGTGTGATCATGGCCCTGGATACCAGTGCCTACTATTTTATGATTACTGAGTCTGAACATTCCCATAGGTCATCATCTCTCAAAGCAGAGATGTCCAGTATCTAGCTTCAGTCATATAGCCGGCTGGGCTGCACAGATATCTTATCACATTTAAACAGAGAGCCAGGTGCATCATTTAGATCCCTTCCTCCATCCCCTCCTCCCCTCTCTCCCTCCATCCTCTCTTCTTCCCTTGCTTCTACTTCCATTTTTTTCCAGAGGATCTTTCTGTAGCGGAGGCTGACCCCAAGCTTTGGCAATCCTCCTATCTCAGCCTCTGAAGTGCTTGGACTGTGAGTATGAGCTACCTTGCCTAGCTGTTAGATTACATTTTGCTGTTCATCTAGTTCTGGCGTCTGGAAGTGAAACAATGATCACTTTTGAATAATTAACACAAGTCAGATGCACATGTCATATGTGTCAAAGGAGCCCTGGGGAGTCCTCCGCCTCTTCTTCTCTCAGTGGTACCTCCCAGATATAGTCTTCATTCTGTGTATGCCTCTTACCAGAGGTCTCTGCTGCACCTGTTCTCAGCAGTTCTTACAGGTGGCTTCGCCACTGTGGTTTGCTCTTAAAGGCAGCCTGGTGAGGAATGCCACAAGTCTAGTGTATATTTTGGTGTTTGGGGCTAAATAAATAAATGGCCCAATCAATTATTGGACATCAGCCTCTCACCACCTCCATGTCCCCCTGGAGGAAGCCAGACATCACTGTGAAAGACAGCTTTCTGGGGATACAGGAAGCTCTTGGGTATCCATGTGATACTTATTGTAACCTCAGAGGAGGCTCCCTTCTTCCTTTCTCTCCCTAAGGAAGCCCCATGTGATCTGATATCTGTCTTCTCTCTAATTTTCAGGAATTCTGTCCCCAAGTGATTACAGTTGACACAGTCACCCAAATAGCCAACGTTTTCAGGTTTATTTCTTGGAACTTGGGACTGTCACCTTACATTACAGAAGAGGCTTGATGCAGTGGCAGGATACAGGGCCCCTGGACAAATAGGTGATTCTTCATGTCTATGTGGGTGTGGGATGCAACGTGGCTTGTTATAAACGGGAGGTAGAGGGCATTTCACAGCACCAGAGAGGCTGCTGGCCACTGAGCAAAGGCCATGGGAAGAGATTATATGGGAGTCACAGGGCTCAGAATCTGAGAGAGATGAGGGCATGGTTTCCTGTTGTCCAGGGGTAGTCGATCTCTGTTAAGGAAATCTCAGACTGAGTTCCACAATCATGGGAACTAGGGAACATGTGTTGAGGAGAGCCTCTGAGTTTGTGGCCATAGAAACTCACTCAGTGGATGAAGGGTCTAAGTGAGGACAGCATCTCCCAGCTACCGCCACAGACACTTGTGATCTTGCTAAGAGAGTCTGATTCCAGGACATAAGTGAAAACATGGTGTCAACTTCCAGAAAATCCTCGTAAGGAGGTGGAGTTGTCTTCTGCTCCCACACACCCTCCTGCTGGTTCCTGGCAATGCTTACAGCCATCCTGGACCAAGAGCCATATTTTGGAGTTGAGTCTATGCGTGCCGAGCCAACCAAGCAGAGCAGCCTGGGGGAGGGACACTTCAGAGTAGGGGCCTACACAGTATCTAATAAGAGGGAAAAGGAACTATTCCATTTTAGAAATGTCGGGTGGGCCTCTGGCAATTGGTCTCAATCACAGAAAGCAAAGCAATCAAGTGTTATAAATACAGGCCTGGTTCTGTCTCTTCCAGGTAAACAAGGCTCTATTGCGCTCACTGAACTCTTTATCACACTGTTGACAGGAGATGATGGGTGAGAAAAACACCTCTAATGTACTTAGCTTACAGGATGGTGTGATGTGTAGCTGACTAACAACTTTTCCAAGATTAAACTCTAAAGGTAACTTGCCTTCGAGGACACTTTTACCCATGTGTCTCTGAGGTGAATGTCCAGGCTTTGGGATGAGAGGGGCAGAGAGGTGAATGAATTGCACACCTATGAGTGATGTGGACCTTAGCACACATAGCTCTCTGCCATTCTTCCTGTCAGTTGGTGCTTGTAGCTACTATTTAATTTACATGTTCTCTAGCGCTTTGTTTATCTGACTCACAAAGACAGGAGTTTTCTGTGAGGAGAATTCTGAGGCCTTCATAGTCTCAGTTCAGTGTTTAGAGGGTTTTGACGCCAAGGCCTGATGTCTCCATTGCTGGGTTCTCCAGATGCGTGGCTACTTGACTTCTTCATGGAATTCCCAATGGCGCCTTAAAATGCAACAGTGGAGAGAGTCATAAAGTTTAAGCCTTGTCCAGTCTTGTTTTCTGTTTATGAGAGAAAACTTTTGGTTGCTTTTGGAGTTGGCTTCCTCATGCATCTGTCCCTGAGGAGCCTGCAGAGGTGGAGTTTCTAGTGTTGGAATCTGGCCTGGGTGTCCAGCCCCCAACATTCTTGCTTAGAGTGAAAGATTAAAGCTGACACTTAATTGCTGGTGATAACAGACCTTCTGAAAGTAACCACTAAAATTAAAAGCAGTGTTTGAGTCTGTGTAGTCTGTCACCCTGCACTGAGGGGGCACTTGGGGACCCTTGGGGGCAGGTCTGGATGGTTTGCTCTCCACGAAAGGAAGCACATGAGCTGGAAGTAGATCTTGATGTTCACCTGTGCCTTCTGGTCTTCACTGAAGCCAGAAAGGGGCAGGACTTTTTCCCTCTTCTTGGCATCTTGGCTATTTTACTTCCAGGCCCAGACAAAACCCAGAAGTACAGAGAAGAGTGGTTGAAATAAACATTAGGAAAAGAAAAATAAAAGATACAATGGGCTGGCTTGAACTTGATATTGAATTTCAACTCAAATCTTTCATCAGCATCGTTTCAACAGGTTTGGTGGCTGCCTTGGGGAGGACCATGGCCTCTCTGCTCTGGAGCACTCTCAGTGTCCACGGGAGCATGTGTCCAAGTGCATAGAATCACTGCCATGAACCAATGGTCCTTTTCAGAAATCCACAGAAGGGGGTACATGTTTTCAATCAGATTCGATATCTGAATTCTAAACAAATTTAGATTATCCATACCTCTTAAAAAATGTATGCCATTCAAGCAATTGTTTTTATTTTTCATTTTGAGAGAAATTCTAAATGTACTCCTGGCATTGAACAAGGCTTATGTTTGGAGTGCCATGTGAACAGGCCCTTTGGGAGACTTTTGGTGAATCAGAAGCCAGGGAATTCTCAATCAAACTGGCAAGAGAACAAACTATGTGGTCAAAAGTGGAAAGACAGTTCAACATTGAGACTCAGAAGGGCAGTGAGCAACATA